CCACTGAGCCACCCAGGTGCCCCCTAATCAAATATTTCAAAGTAGATCCACCTGCTGTAAAAGTGATGAAGAGGGGCACCTGCCTATGTCTCTGCCTCTCTGTGTCTCTCATGAATAAATGAATAAAATCTTTAAAAAATTTTGATTAGGTAGAAGAATGAATGGGCTTGGAAATGTCAACTTCTTTTTTAACAGACAGGTTCTCTTTTCAATAGTTATTAGAGATTGAACCTTGGCTTTAATGAGCAGAGACATGCAACAGTTTTCAACAGTGGGTTGAAGAAGCCTGCGTCTTTAGCCTCCACTAAAGTGGGAAGCTCTGTTGGAGGGTGGAGAGCTAGTATGGGCAGTGGATGGGTGGGGTTGTGAATGCTACAGGGCAGAATTTTGGCTAGGGCTCGAGGTGCTTATCTAGGCACCACAACATCTAGAAACACTGAACAGTGCACAGTGTTGATATTTTGTCTTCTATTACAGTATCCAGTTTATCCTCCAGGAATTACTTCCTTTTTTTTTTTTAAACTCAGAGAAATATAAATTCCTCTATTCCTCATGCTCTAGTGCATAGTATTTTCTTCTCTTAGATCTTTAACTCAGGTAGCTTGCCTGTCCAGCTGCCTTCTGATTATAATAGTATAATGTAGTAATGTCAATAATGTTAATTAAACAGTTAATGGGTCTTTTAACATTTCAGAGAGCTTTCACTTATTTTGTAGTTAGGATTTTTTGGGGGAAAAAGTCAAAGGGTTGGTATTGGCCTTGGGTCAGTAAACTCTGAAATCATTGACCTTATTAGGAACTTGTGCTAGGATTCCACGGTCTTCCCACAGAGACCAGAGTGATGAATGCTGGGAGAGATCTGGATTTGCAGTTTTAGATGATTATGAATCTTGGACTTTTCATGCCCTGCAGTGACTTCATTTCAGAATGACTTTGTTTGGTATGGAAGTTGGGGAGAGGAAGAGGTGAAGGGAAGTAGCCAGTCTAATGTGTAAATGAAAGGCGATAGAAGATTCATTTAATTGATTCCTAGCTCTACTTTGTACTAATCAAGGGAACAAAAAATCACTCTGTACTGTTATCTTTTGTCTCCCCTATTCTACGCAATTTTAAGGTGGTGTTTTTTGACTGGTTTCTGTTTGATTAGAATGACAAATTTATAGAGCTCTTTAAGATTAGAAGAATAGCGGGGCTCTTTTAGTTCATGTTGATAAGCACATGTTAATAAGTTTGTTTCAAGACTGCAAATTAACTAATCCTGAGCTCTTATGTGTTAAAGGACCTCTATGCCCATGTAGACAGCCCCCTTTTTAACTTCCATGATACTTGAATGATCTTGCTTTCTGGTGCCATATTCTTGAGAAATAGTTTTGTAATCTTCCTTTCAGGGCCCCATTTCCTGAGTAATGTGGTTATCTTTCTGATGGCATGTGATGAAAGTTGTTTTTCCCGTTGGCCTTGCTTCTCTTGACTTTTTGAAAAATGTATCCTTTTTGTTTTCTGAAATAGTTTTCATCTCAACCTTTGCTCTTGCCAGTTTATCGATAAGAGCTCTTGAGTCAAGTGGAAGTTTAGGAGAATGTTTTGAAGTTCTTCTGTGAAGTAGGTACAATGCCCTTACAATGATTGTTTTTTCCATCTATGGACTACTTAGACTTTTTTAATCTAAAAAAAAAATTAAAAATTTCGTGTTTCAGTAAATTATTAACATGTAGATTCATTTTGGGGCTTAGCACATACTTTTCTTATAATATGGTAAAACATACATATTATTTACCACGTGCATCGTTTTTATGTGTACAGTTCAATGGCATTAAGTATATGCATATTGTTGTGTAGCCATCACCATCATTTATCTCTAGAATCTTTATAATCTTGCAAAACTGAAACTCTATGCCATTAAATAATAACTCCCCGTTCGTCCTTTCCCCCACCCCTGGAAATCACTATTTTTTAAAATTTATTCATGAGAGACATAGAGGCAGAGACATAGGCAGAGGGAGAAGCAGGCTCCCTTTGGGGAGCCTGATGTGGGACTCATCCTAGGACACCGGGATCACACCCTAAGCCCAAGGCAGACGCTCAACCACTGAGCTATCTCGGTGTCCTGGAAGGAAATAACTGTTTTATTTCTTGACTACTTTAAGTACCTCGTATAAGTGAATTATGCAGTATTTGTTCCTTTATGACTGGCTTATTTCACTTAGCCTAATGTTTCTAAGGTTTTGCCATGTCGTAGCATATGTCAACATTTCATTCCTTTTTAAGCCTGAATAATATTCTATTTTTTTAAAGATTTTATTTATTTGTTCATGAGAAAGAGAGAGAGAGAGAGAGAGGCAGAGACACAGACAGAGGGAGAAGCAGGCTCCCTGCAGGAGCCCAATGTGGGACTCGATCCTGGACCCCAGGATTAGGCCCTGAGCCAAAGGCAGACGCCCAACTGCTGAGCCACCCAGGCATCCCAATATTCCATTTTTTAAAAAAGATTTTATTTATTTATTCATGAGATACACACACACAGAGAGGCAGAGACATAGACAGACGGAGAAGCAAGCTATGACCCCGAGATCATGACCTGAGCAGAAGGCAGACTCTCAACCACTGAGCCACCCAGGTGCCCCTGAATAATATTCTATTGTATGTATATACCACATTTTGTTTTTCCATTTACCCGTCGATGGATACTTGGGTTACTTGCACCATTTGACTATTATGAGTAGTGCTGCTGAAAAGGTAGGTGTCCAGACATCTGTTGGAGTCCCTGTTTTCAGTTCTTCTGGCCATATACCCAGAAGTAGAATTAGCAGATCATATGGTAATTCTATGTTTAATTTTTTGAGGAATCACCGTAGCATTTTCCTCAGTGGCTGCATCATTTTATATTGCAACCAGTAATGCACAAGGGTTCCAGATTTTCCACATTCTCACCAATGCTTGTTGGTTTTTAAACGTTTTCTTTGTGTTTTTAAAATAAAAAAAAAATTTATAGTTATCCTAATGGATGTGAAGAGGTGTATCATTGTAGTTTTCCATTTTCCTAATGACCAGTGACATTGACCATCTCTTCAGGTGCTTAGTGACCATTTGCATATCTGCTTTTGAGAAATGTCTATTCGAGGTCTTTGCCCATTTTTTAATTGTGTTGTTGTTGGTAGTGCGTTGTAGGAGTTCTTTGTATAGTCTAGATAATCAATTCCTTATCAAATATATGATTAGAAAATACCTTTTCCCATTCCATGGGTTGCCTTTTTATTCTTTTGATAATATTCTCTGATGCACAATATTTTTACTTTTGATGAAGTCCAGCTTATTAATTTTGTTTTTGTTGCCTATCCCTTTGGTGTCATATCCAATAAATTATTGCCAAATCCAATGTCTTTAAGCTTTTCCTCTATGTTTTCTTCTAAGAGCTTTATCATTTTAGCTCTTCTGGTTAGGTCTTTGATCCATTTTGAATTTTTAATTCAAAGTTTTTGCATGTGGATATCCAGTTTTCACAACAGTATTTGTTGAAAAGATAGTCTTTTCCTCCATTAAATGGTTTTGGCACTATTGTTGAAATTATTTGACCATATATTTGAAGATTTATTTCTGGGCTCTGTATTCAGTTGGTCTGTCTTTATGCCCATTCCACAGTCTTTTGATTACTTTAGCTATGGTAGTAGGTTTTGATATCGGGAAGTGTGAGACTTTCATCGTTGTTCTTCTTTTGACAGATTGTTTTGGCTATTCAGGATCCATTGACCTTCCATATGAATTTTAGGATGGCTTTTTCTATTTCTGCAGTTTGTTGTTGAGATTTCGCTAGGGATTGTTTTGAATCAATAGACTCTTTTGGGTGGTATCACCATTGAACAGTATTAAGTCATCAATGAACACAGGATGTCTTCCCATTTACCTGTGTTTTCTTTAATTTTTTTCAGCAGTGTTTTGTAGTTTTGAGTACAGTATTCTTTTTTTTTTTTTTTTATGTGGTTTTGCTTTCCATGGTTTCAGTTACCTGCAGTCAACTATGGTCCAGAAGCAGGTGATCCTCCTCTTGACATGTCGTTAGAAGATCAGTAGTAGCCTAATGCTATCTCATGATGCCTACCTCGTTCACCTCACTTCATCTCATCATGTAGGTATTTTATCATCTAACATCATTACAAGTAGTAGGGTGAGTGCAGTATGGTAAGGTATTTGAGAGAGAGAGACCACATTTGCATAACTTTGATGTGAATGTGTTACAGTTCCTTTTTTTCCATTAGTTTTTGTTATTAATCTTTTACAGTACTTAACTTATAAATTAAACTTTATCATATATATATAAAGAAAAGAGGGATCCCTGGGTGGCGCAGCGGTTTGGCGCCTGCCTTTGGCCCAGGGCGCGATCCCGGAGACCCGGGATCGAGTCCCACGTCGGGCTCCCGATGCATGGAGCCTGCTTCTGCCTCTGCCTGTGTCTCTGCCTCTCTCTCTCTCTGTGTGACTATCATGAATAAATAAATAAAATCTTAAAAAAAAAAAAAAAAAGAAAAGAATATACATACGGCTTGGTACTATCTGTGGTTTCAGGCATCTGCTGGGGGTCTTGGAATGTATTTCCGGTGGATAAGTAGAGTCTACTGTATCCAACCCTTGCCCTCTAGGTTAAGTTTATTCCTGAGTATTTTATTCTTTAAAAAAATTTTTTTTTTTTTTTTGTGTGTGTGTGTTGGAGACCTGTTTAATGTGGACGTTCAAGGCCTGGGCAGAGTGAAGAGTGCCCCAGAATTGGGCAGGCAGGCAAGGTGGGTGGGTCGAGGGCCCACACCTGACCCCGGGAGGGGATGTGGGATGTTGGGGGCTGGCCCAGGCATGCCAAGGGGAGTACCAGAAGGGTGTCCAAGGCAGGCAGACCCACTGGGGAACCTGGAGGCCAGCCCCTGAGCAGGTGTTGAAGCCAGGTGGTGAGTGCCTAGGCCAGAGCCTAGCCCAGGGAGGCAGGGTTGGGGCTGGCTGGGAGCTCCTAAAACCTAAGGACTGGCATCAGGAGGGGCCTCCCCAAGCTGCTGCTGGAACTCAAGACGTGTCTGCCGGTTGGACTCAAGCAGCTCCTGGAGGCGGGCATGGAGGTGGTCATTCGTCTCCTCTAGGTGGTCTAGACAGGAGTTGATCTGGTCCAACATGGAGTTGATGGCAGCATATTCTGCTTCCCCGAAGCCGTCGTCCTCGCCTTCTGCGCCCACCTCCACCGGCAAGTCCAGGTCCCCGTTGGCGCCCGACATTGCGGGCTCGGGCGCAGCGAGTGCCCCGCGGCGACGGAACGCGGCGACAGTCCCACGGACAGCCAGCGCCGGGCGGAAGGTGGAGGCACGGGATGGAACGCGGCGCCGGAAGAGTTCTTTTAAAATTTTTTTTAAGAAAGATTTTTATTTATTTATTTGTCAGAGAGAGAGAGAGAGCAAGCAAATGTTTACAAGCAGAGGGAACTGCAGGCAAAGGGAGAAGCAGGCTCCCTGCTGAGCAAGGAGCCCAGTGCAGGACTCAATGCCAGGACCTTGGGATCATGATCCAAGCCGAAGTCAGACACTCAGCTGACTGAGCCACCCAGGCATCTTTTTAATACTATTATAAATGGGATGTTTTTATAATTTTCTTTCCAGATTGTTCATTGTTAGTGTATATAGAAAGGCAACTGATTTTTCCATGATCATGTATCCTGCAACTTTGCTGAATTTATTAGTTTTGATTGTGTGTGAATGTGTGTGTTTGTGGACTCTTCAGGGTTTTCTGCATGTAAGATCATGTCCTCTGCAAACATATTTTTTCTTCTACCTTTTGGATGCTTTTTATTTCATTTTCTTGCCTACTTGCTCTGGTTAGGAGTTTCAGTACTATTTTGAGCAGAAGTGGTAAAAACAGGCATCCTTGTCTTATTCCTGACCTTATGGAAAAGGCTAGCAATCTTTCACATTTGACGATTGGAGTTTTTTTCCCCCCAATTCATGCTTGATTTAAGCTTTTGGCTGAGGAGGCAAACTAGTTAAGTACTGTGAGAAAAGTTAAAATAGTACTGAAATTGTGAACTTATTTTTGAACCGTAAATTCTTATGAAAATAGCTTCTGTATAGGAATCTGCCCCCAGATTCAAGCCAGAATACATGGGTGGAGCGCCCTCACGGTTTTAGAAACAGCTGAGGGTCTTAAAACTCAAAGAGGCTTTTTTCCCTTTTCAGTGTGTGTAAGAACATAGATTTGCATTCACACTATTTTCACTCTTTTACTGTAAATGTATCTGAATATATACTGTTTGGTGTAGGGCTGAGAGAATAGCAGTTGAGAACAGAGGGAACAAACATCTGTAGACAGTTTAGACTCTATGCCAGTGGCTTTTAGTGGCCTTCTACCTATAAAATAATCAAAATAACGGTAGTAGGAATATTAGCTGCTGCACCAGATCCCGTCCTTGGCATATTATGTCTGTTACCTACTGAAATCTCACATTGCCGCATGAAGTATAGATTTTAGCAACCTCATGTTACAAGTGAGGAATGGGTCTTGAAATGTCCAGGTGAGGGTCCCAAGCTATTCTGTGGCAATGCCAGGGTTTGTAACCGAGCCTCTGGGATGCCTGGGTGGGTCAGTGGTTGAGCGTCTGCCTTACGCTCAGAGTGTGATCTCGGGTCCTGGGATTGAGTCCTGCATCTGGCTCCCTGCAAGGAGCCTGCTTCTCCCTCTGCCTATGTCTCTGCCTCTCTCTCTTTCTCTCTCTGTGTCTCTCATGAATGAATAAATGAAATCTTTAAAAAAAGAAAAAAGAAACTGAGTCTCTGATTATATAGCTCTGCAGCTTTCCCCTGAATTTGTTGTTTTTGTTTTGTTTGTTTGATTTTAATTCTGTAACTGCATCTTAATTACAAGGTCCTTTAATTAGGAACCTTGACTCATTGTGGTCAGCACCAAGAAAGTGCTATAATAAATTAAGGTACAGTCCTTCATATACATTTCTTTGGTTGGTTAATTTGATCTCTGAGATGCTGATATCACTTCTCTGGCCAGCCCGTCTCTTAGCACTGTCTCCTTGTGCTTGATTTTCTTTAAAGGTGAGAGAGGGCTGTGCTGAATTTGAGCCAGGCTTTTGTATGGGTAACACTGCTTTAGAAGGAGAAGAGAGCCATTAATTGATAGACCTGCTTCTACCAAGAGTAGAAGCCTTTTAATTGAGAATTAGTGACCTATAAAATATTATTCATTGTTAATATTACTGTATTAGTGCATAGATCATGCTGACATTGGTTAACTCAACAACTCTATATTAAGCAGTAAGGGCAATAATAAGAGCTATTATCATTCATAATGCTATTATTGTAATATAAGTGCTTTGAGAGATATTATCATACTTAATCTTTATAATAATCCCCTTAAGGCAGATGAGGTAGCGGAGACTCAAATAAGTTAAGTGACTTGTTCAGGGTTGCCTAACTGGACCATTCCATCAAAAGCAGATCTCCCATGTTTTGCTCCCTCCCAGGCTCTGTCCTCTTGCCAATCTCAAGCTTTTATTTATATATGTATGTCTATATTTATTTGTTTTATCAAAGAAGGCAGGGGCCTCATCTGGCATTGCAGCTGTATCCTCAGTACCTCACATAGAACCTGGTACATAGTAGAAGCACAGTCAGCATAAAGTTGGGAATCTGAAAGTAGATTTCATGGTTCCAAGTCAGGGCTGTGTCACAGCTGTCTTTTGGGGTAGAAAAAAATAATCAGCTAAGAAGTGGTTAGTTGTTGCTTTTCCCTTCCTCTGGACATTAAAGTTTAACCTCCTTGATTAAAAAAACCTTTTTATTGAAGTATGGTATATATTTAGAAAAGTGCTCCTAATCCTATATATATTACTCAGAGGATTACCAGAAACTGAACACATTTGTGTAATTGGGACCTAAAAGAAAAGGAACATTACCAGCACCTCACACATCTTCTGGTGTGCTCCCCCTCCCATCAGGCACAGAATAACCACCATCCTGCCTTCTAAAAGCAGAAGTTGGTTTTGCCTTCTTAAAAAAACCTAAGTGGAATTTGTATCCCCAAAATGGCATTTTGTGTCTGGCTTCTTTGGTTTGGCATCATGTTTGTGAGATTCTGTACCGTTGCAGATATATTCCTTCTCCTGGCTGAGGAAGGAGTGGGGTGTTCCACTGTGTGAACATACCAGTTTCCCTGTTCTGCTATTGAGGGACATTTAGGTAGTTCTGAGTTTCTGTCTTTCATGAACAGTGCTGCTGGGAATATTATAGTACATGTCTTTTGGTGAATGTATACATGTCTGAACCCTCTTTATTTTATTTTATTTTATTTCATTTTATTTTATTTTTTTACCCTCTTGATTTTAAATTAAGAATAGGATAAATGGGGGATCCCTGGGTGGCACAGCAGTTTGGCGCCTGCCTTTGGCCCAGGGCGCGATCCTGGAGACCCGGGATCGCATCCCACGTCGGGCTCCTGGTGCATGGAGCCTGCTTCTCCCTCTGTCTGTGTCTCTGCCTCTCTCTCTCTCTCTCTCTCTCTGTCTGTGACTATCATAAATAAATAAAAATTAAAAAAAAAGAATAGGATAAATGAATATTTAAAATTCTTTTCAGTTCCATATTGTAGTGAAGTAAGGCAGAAGGCTAGGAAGGGAAGAGAAAAGGCGATAGAGAGGGATAGAAGAGAGGCAGAAGGGTAGTGTGAGGGGAGATGAAATCAAGGAAGAGGAAAGAAATATGGAGAAAGGGTGAAGAGGAGCAGAGGCAGGGGTCTGGCCATTGAGAGGGGCTCCTAAATGCAATGACCAAAAAGCCCTGTTCCAATTTTGAGGATGGGCTTCAAGGTATTACCAATTCCTGAGATGCTTCTCTGGTGCTTCCCATCCACATCTCTCAAAGGCCCTCTGGCCTCTACTCTACCCATTTACTCCTGTCTGTGTGGTGGATTCAGATCTCCAAACAGACCATGTCTGTCGTATATATTTTTTTCTATAAAGAAATGAGCAGTAAATGAATTTAGCTTTTGTGAACAGTATAAAGCTCTTTTCTCCATAGGTTGTCTTTGCCCTCAGTAGGTCTGTGAGGAATGTTTTTATAATCTCTCACTAAAATGTTATTTTTTTATTTATTCATGACAGACACACAGAGAGAGAGGCAGAGACATAGGCAGAGGGAGAAGCAGGCTCCCTGTGGGGAGTCCGGGACCCCAGGATCATGACCTGAACCAAAGGTAGACACTCAACCACTGAGCCACCTAGATGCCCCTTAAAGTGTTTTTTAAACACATGAGGATAACGCAAGTCTCAAAGAGGTTAAGCAGCTCCTTCAGGGTTACTTAGCTGATAAGTGATGGAGGCCAGGACTAGACCACGGGACCAATTCCAGGTCTTCTTTACCAGATGTTCTGTATTTTTTTTAAAAAAAAATTTTATTTGTTTATTCATGAGAGACACAGAGATGCAGAGAGGCAGAGACACAGGCAGAGGGAGAAGCAGACTCCATGCAGGGAGCTTGACATGGGACTCCATCCTGGGACTCCAGGATCACGTCCTGGGCTGAAGGCGGCGCTAAACCGCTGAGCCACCCAGGCTGCCCTGTTTGTATTTTTTAAGGAAACATTTGCCATCATGTGATTAAGGAACAGATGCCTTATAGTATGTACCTAGGTATTAGGTTTACCTAGTCCTACTTCTTATTTTCTGGATCTTCCTAAGGACTAGGAATGAATTAGACTTTTGGGTTCCACTTGATATTTACCCCTCCATATGCTATTCTATTTTGATTTTTTTTCCCTCTCAAACCTTTTTAAAGAAATTACACTGTATTTTACCAATCCTATTTTTCTCTCATAGCTCCTCTGTGGTGAATTAAATCTGTTTTAGTTAATTTTTAAAAATTTTACATATATTTTTTAAGTGGGCTGCTTACCCATTGTGGGGCTTGAACTCATGACCATGAGATGAAGAATCACATGCTCTCTACCATTTGAGTTAGTCAGGCATACCCTAAATTTTTTTTAAAATACAAAGTCCTATATGATATTGGGCCTTCTTAACAAAAACAAAAACATAAAACCAAAACCAAAACAAACAAAAAAGCGCATCTGACCAGGAAAAGTTAGGAATCACTTGTTAATATAGCATACAATGGAATTGGTTTTCTAGCTACCTGTATTGATCTGTATTTGTGAAATATCTTCAGGTATGAATGTGAAAAATGCCCCCCCTTCCATTACTGGCTAGAATTCAGATAGAAAT